ACCTGGTGTGAGAGACTCTGTGAGTGTCGCGGGACACTCTCCAGTATAGCTCAATGGATCGCTGAGGTGCGCAAACCGTCACACCACGGTAAGGTCCAGTCTCTTCGTGACGGGGTCCAGTCTCTTCGTGACGGAATATGGAGGTCGGTCGAATGTTTTCGGAAGCAACCTACCCACGACAGATGAGCTCCTCGTAATCTCCAGGTTGCGCTGCTTCGTACGCTAGTCACCTTGCGCGGGGTCCAGTCTCTTCGTGACGGAATATGGAGGTGCGTCGAATGTTTTCGGAAGCAACCTACCCACGACAGATGAGCTCCTCGTAATCTCCAGGTTGCGCTGCTTCGTACGCTAGTCAATCACCTTGCGCGAGGGACCCTTACCATGCGTACAGTCTCAGGTTTAAAACGGTCCGGGATAAGTAAAATCATGACTTGACAGTGAAGGATGAAGCCATAACCGAAAAACTCAGTTGATTTGACAGTCGCTTTCTTCTTGGATGGTTAACTTTGGACAGATTACATGTACGTTCCAATCACCTCCCCAATGACGTACGTACATCCTAGGGTTTTGTGAAGCGTCTTCTGCCTACCTCTCTTCTGATAACGGACACTGTTCGCTACTCTTGTAGTCACCATTCAGTGGTGTCCACTGTTTCTCACAACATTTGTGAGAAAACTATGGTAGTTAGGACATGCAAGTGGTTTACAGCCGCTGGCGCTGTTCGTAATGATGTACCTCAGACTGTCCTGGCGTTTTTCTGATGAATGCTTATCCAATTTTATCCTCTCCCAATAGCCTGTCGTTTTTGGACTTTCCTTCACGCCTGATTGGTAATCCACCGGAACTGACACCCGAGATGCTGGTGAGTTACACATTGGTAATTCGGTAGCTCACTCCCTATAACGATCGTGTTTGGCCAGTTATCTCATATTCTTTTTCGAACCCTTACGGCCAGTGTAAATTTGCCCGCATGACACCTATCCGTCTGGATCCGATCAATCATGCTGTTGTTATCTTGTCTTTTGCCGTAACTTTCTAACTTCAGTACCTTGGGAGTCTAAATGTCCTAGGGCGTTCGCCCAACCATATTATGCGTAATATATCGCCCTCCTTGGTCCACTTTCAAATACAGTAATCAGTTCTCTCCTGGAATGACATGCAGTCCACACCTGTCAATTTGAAAATGATGCTACGAGACTCGGTGATCCAAGTTTAATGCTCGCAGATCAGCTATATATTGTAGATAAGTTTCTCTTGATCATTCGTCTAAGTCCCAAAAACAGCCTTACCAATTATTTGGACCACGCAACTGTTCAGTCAGATGCTTACTTCACTAGCCCGACCTGGCTATGGTGAACTGAGCGGAACTTTTCTTTATTTGGACCCCTTTGGTCATTCCCTTAAGACGGTCTCTCCTGTCAGAGGGCACCGTGCTTTCAAACGGCAGAAGTTATACCCATATGATTTTCACTGACCATTGTCGTGTGCTACATTATCTCTGAGTGATGCGTTTTTGCGACCCAAAAACGCTTCGAATAAATTGGTAGGCTGATTTTTCCTCCACAATGTAAGCGTCATCGCCAGGACAACTTTGAAGTTGCTTTGTTACTTTCACATTCATAAAACGCACCAGTTTTCCATCATTTTTCGATGGAACTGTATGATGGTGCATAATTATATGGGCTTAGGTTGACTTAAGGGATCACGGTTTTACCACTGCTCAGTGGAAATTTAATAGGCAGATGTCGAAAAATAGGAGAAGCTCCATACAGAAGTGTTCAGGGATTGTCTCGTGGTTCACAGATTTCATGGTTATGGCCCCTGTTGTTGATCATGTGATGGATAAATAGGTTAGTCTGTTAGAAGCGTAATAGGCCGGATGAAATATCAGTCCTGGATCACCGTTACCATCGTCATGGACTGCATTTTAGGTTGTTCCATTGTTGAGCGGTGAATTGCCGTCGAAGGAAAGTAGAAAAGACACCATTGATCACGTGATTGTTCATTCATTCTATTCTTTCAGATGAGTGACTGGAGTTCTTACTGTTGGAGGAACTTGTTCGCATGTATCAATCTGTTACGGGTCCTCAATATGCTCACCAAGTGGAAACATTCCAGGACCATGGTAGGCTTTTATGTTCAATTGCACTGACTAGGTTTTTCTGCCGTACGCTCCTGTTTGCGTATCTCTTACTGTGTCCGTTGTCCTTCGGCAGTATCTCAATTGCCTGCCTATCGTCGTTGCAGTTTGCCATAACAGGTGACGTGCACACCACAGTCAGTCTACTTTAGAGAGGACATCCGCAAGCAAGGGGCTCATTCTACTCTTGTCTATCCCCTTAAAGATTGGGACCGCTGCGATAATTCATTCTGAAATTACCCACGGTGATCCACGGAATGGAGTTACGGTAGCTCTGCTAGTTTGTCAGACGGCATTCTAATGAGTGACTTACAATTCGATGGATGTGTCGAAATTGTTTTTCTCGTAGCAGGTGACACAACTCACGGAATTTGATCCCCGGTAGATTTTGGTGTTGCTGTTGTCTTCACTGAAGTCGCGAATATTCTGTTACATCATGAAGGTTTGCTTGGTTAACAGGCGTTAGCAAGTTCGACGAATGGAGTAGCTACCAACATCAGGCTTTGCGATAATTCATTCTGAAATTACCCACGGTGATCCACGGAATGGAGTTACGGTAGCTCTGCTAGTTTGTCAGACGGCATTCTAATGAGTGACTTACAATTCGATGGATGTGTCGAAATTGTTTTTCTCGTAGCAGGTGACACAACTCACGGAATTTGATCCCCGGTAGATTTTGGTGTTGCTGTTGTCTTCACTGAAGTCGCGAATATTCTGTTACATCATGAAGGTTTGCTTGGTTAACAGGCGTTAGCAAGTTCGACGAATGGAGTAGCTACCAACATCAGGCTTTATAGTCCAAATGAAATCTTGTTTTTTTTTTCACAAGCGCTGATCGCTCTATCAGCTACCGCCTTTGAAGGGCTAGTTTTCTACGATGGTGCCCTTCATAAGGTATGCACCATTGGTAACAATTGGGCATCATCCAAACACTTGGCTAAGGCGATCGCCTCATCTAACCGTTAGAAAAGTTTGCTTATTCTGCGGTCATCTGAGTAATAACAGGTCAGCTTTCGCCTCACGGTTTGGTTCGATTTGATTTGTAATTAGCTGCCGCTGCACGCACGACTCTTATGCATAGCTTTTTTGGTCAAAACAGTATAATTTGTATTATAATATGTCAGCCGTTATGGCTGGAATGTGACTCACATAGATTGTATACACGTCGCAATTTGTATGGCTAATGAAGCTAACCACGGGCTTTCTGTTTCCTTCCAGTTGCTTGTGGTGTTTAAATCTGCACCCATCCTAAAGCGCGCCCTACGTGTTCGCCATGCGATGATGCAGCTGTACGTGCTCAAGTTACTCAAGTTACAGAGTCGCTATTTCGGACGGCAGTGGCGGAAGACCAACATGTCCATTATGTCCGCCATCTATCAAAAAGTTCGACACCGGCTAACGGATGACTGGGCCTATGGGAATGGTGAGCTACTTGTCAGTTGTCGATGGTGATTTTCTTGTTGGAACGCTAAGTGTTTTATGCCTGACGAAAACCTTTTCTACCTGATTGCTGTCAAAAGTTTCGAATTTTCACTAGTATCTAAGTTGGTACTGTGTTGAAATTGAAACTCTACTCATTTCAATTTTGCACCTCACAACAGATGTGGATGCAATGCCGTGGCATTATCAAGTGGAGGAGCATACGCTACGCACAGAAGTGGATCAATTCAACCAGCGGCGATACACGGACAATTGGCTGGACCCAGAATTCCGGCCTGTGGACAACTCCTTGACCAGTGTGCTGAATCAGCCTTTCCGTTTGTCGGACGAGTTCGAACGCAATTATGAAAAATGGTTGGAAGAAGAAGTGTTCTCTGTGCCCATCAACTGGTCTCAGGTCTTAGCCCGTCATTGATTTGCTGCATTTGTGCACTTTGCCCATACATGAATTTTGACCGTTCAGTTCATTTCGTGCTCACGATCAATTTGAATGTAAAGGTGAACGTCTATACTTTGACTTCGTCGTTGCTGGAACTCTTGTTTGCTTATTTAATTGCTCGCTAATTATTCGCCCATATCTCTGGTTCTACTCTTATTTATTCAAACTGCGTAATTTGAATCCGTTATTGTACAAACTTCAACTCGTTCTGGCCCCGTCGGTATCATTATTCCCTAACACCCTTGCCCACGGATGGGTGCCGCCTGAACGCCGGTAGTGTGGCGTACGCGTAGTGGTACTCGTGTAACTAGATTATCTACTCATTGAAGACGTCTTGTTACTAAGAGACTTGCGGATAGTGGACCACTTTAGAGGAAAACCAATCCAATTCTAATCGCTCGGTATGGATGTGAAACTCTTGACCAAACGGACCAGTCGCCGATCCCTTGACGCATACGCGTGACGGGGCGACAACATACGTGAGCCTTTATCGGTGAAGTTGAAGTAAATGGTCTCCTCGACAAACATCGGACGGTCATAGTTGTGTTTGCTGGAGTGTCCACTGATCTGAAGTTGATGAGAAATGAGATATCGTCACAGGTAGGCAGTTTTTCGTGGAATGTTTTAAAAGTGACCACATGGTCCTTTCGGTGTCGACTGCTTTATTAAATTTTGTAAAAGGCATAAGCTAGCATCGCCCGTATATGGCAGTGCCCTACGATTGTCGCGGCTTCTCTGATTGGTGTCCCGCCGCGCGTCCTATGTTAGGCTCTAGCCAAATGCGATCTCTAGTCAGCGTCTAAAAGGCTACAAACCACCGCCCCTTTGCAGCTTCGAACTTATTTTTGGTGACTCATACTCCTACGTTGTAGTGTCTCAAATACTTCATGCTAGTCCTCATCAATGACCATGGTGTTCAGTAAATCCGTTTGCAGCTGACCGTGAGGACGACCTTGAATCGCCAGTATCAACCTTTTAAAACCTGCCAGTCCGCCACACCTTTCACTACCAAGCCTTGACCCACGTCACTCACTCGGTTAGTGATGATGCGGATGGAGGCACGTTTCCGGCATCTTCAGGGTATAGCGATTCCGACGGATATGTAACTTTCCTTCGCAGTTATTTAGATAAACTGAGGAAATTTCGTTACGGACGAGAATGTTCTCTTCAATTTTTTCAATTTCTGGCATCAGGGTGACACGCATTCAAGTTTCCGAGGCGAACAATCATTCAATCTGACGATCCATACAGTTGGTCTGCAGGGGGTGTGGAGGACCGAGCACTTTTGAGAGACGGCTGATGCAAAAGTGGTTGTGACCCGGTATTTTTCTCGTTGTGCGTTCTCCAAATTGGATGAATAGTGAAGAACTTGGAGTTCGGTGCGAAACAAAGCATGAGTAACGATAATGTTGGCCTTAATGAACCTAATGTCGGTAGACAGTTGACAAGGGTATGCTTTTGTGGAGAAAAACGTTTTGAAGAACCGCAAAAGAAAAAATGAAGGTTTTTTATCTGTTAACTAAACTTGCTACGTCCAAGCAAACGGTGAAAGTGTTCAACTACCAAATAACCTACTGGGTTCTGGATTAAAACTAGCATGAGTCTGTGGAGAGCAGCAGTGTTTGCGAGAAAAACGGAAGGGGTTAATTTTCCTTGTTGACAATCTGCTGAAGTACTCCACCGGTGATAAGCTGAGTGGTATCTATCCTCGAAACCACTGGAATGAGAAGCAGAGACTATGCGACGTAAACTACCTCCATGAGATAGGGCTTATTTGGTCGTGTCAACTGCAGCTAAGGCTTGAGGGCTAAACTAGAATTGTTGGGGCTTCTGCCTGAACAAATAATTTATGGCCCATAATGTTTCGTGATGTGGAATGGAGCGGCAGAAATAGTTTGTAATTCCTTGCTCGAAAGTGCATCCGGTATGATTTGGTTGCTACCTCATCCTGCTGGAATCGTTAAAATAGAAGAACTCAACGATCTGACCGGCAAAATATCACCGTGGATAAGTGTAATCAACGTTCGGGTGGTAATCTTTATACCAAAAGGCATGTGAACAGAATAGTACAAGCGTGTTGATAGTTGTTTCGAGAAAATGTCTCTCATCCATGGGGTATGATGGACTGTTTTGCCGGACATTCCTCGAGAGAAACTGCATATATGCAATTGTACATCCAAAATATGTGTTGAGCGTCCTTGATGTTGCGGTCGTCACTGCGGTGTCGAATGGCGCGCCGTTTCGTTTGTTTTTTTATTTCCTTTATGATCGCGACATCCTTCATACAGCATCGCTGACCAGATCAGTTAGCTTATATAAGTTGGCCCGTTTTTTCGTTTACATTTTTCAACAATACGCACAATGTTTCCAATCTCCCGAAGTTCTCTTTGGGACCATATAGAGAACACACAACAGAACTGCTTGAGCAACTAATTGTGCTCAGTTCCGACGCATCCTGAAACCCTTGTCCTATATTCAGTTTCTCTAATATTGGCGTCGTTGTCGTCGAGCCAGGCAGATCTCTGTCAACGACGCGATCGGCAATGTCACACCCAAAGTAAGTATTGGTGTGAGATGCTTTTCTTGCAGTTAAAAACTGGGAAACAAGTCCGAGAGTGTTGGTAGCATTTCAAACCGGTCGAATTAGTCGAAATGACGCGTCCGAGTGCAGCGCAATAGAAGCACTGTCTAAAGGCTTCCAGCCAGTGAGACCGACATTCATACTAAAATGAGAAACGAAATACAATCCGATCATGCGTATCTGCACGTCGGAGATGATGAGAACCAAAAAAAAGTCGACGACAAATCAAAGTCAATGCTACGGTGTTATCATTTGTATCTGAAATACATGCGCCGTTTGCTGTTTGGGTTTAAGTTGTTAGTTGAAGGTAACCATTATCAAGTGCGGTTGGTTTGGTATAATACTGACTTCGGCGTCGGTGTCAAAAAAATCCTGATTTGTAAAGCTATCATTCATATTGATCAAGCGACATAGAGGTTTATCAGCTGCAGCCGTCGCAATTACTGACCGACAAGTCTGCTTGTCGTATAACAAGGTGTTGAGATAAGTACTGGGAATGACACATTTTCCGGCTTTGTTACCAAAGGGATGACATTGGCAATTGACGCCGGGGTCAGGACCAGGACTGGATGAACTAACTGCTGACTGTAGAGAGTAATGACGGAGATCGGACTATCCTCCAGGGGTGGTGGTAACATACTCTCATCTACAATACCCACCGTTTCAAGGCATCCAGCTGGCTCTGTCTAGTGTTCATTTTGGTTTCAGTGTACGTGTTGAGTGAAGTTCCGGCAATATTTTGTAGTCTCTGCGGGTTTACACAGTGATGTACCGTCTGTTTGCGTTATCACAATAACATTTGTATTGAGAGGTATAGAAGTAGCCCTGGGTTACTGCAACATACCCTCAGCTCTAATCTTTACCACCGAAGGAACTTTGTCTAGTTTAGAGAGAGTTTTGTTTCCGAAGTTGACGCCGGACAGCAATATTCAGGGCCGCGCATCGTCGGTTATAGTGGAGAGCTTCAAGTGGGCCACTTTTAACGTATCATTCGGGATATTCTCTCACTTCGTCCGCAACTTTGACGGCCACTGTGTTATGTGCGGTGAGATTTGTGGAAATGTAGGAATTAGTAGTTTGTACAATTGTGTGAATCAAACTTGTTAATTATTGGCACCATATTTGAGCACTTTGATTGATATAGGTTTCTCACCAGTATGGAATGCGGGGCTGAACACCTTACAAATGCAACCCGAGTGGGCGTTGGTAAAACTGAAAATTGGTGTTCGGACCAAAGTCAGCAGAAAATAGGGTTCGTCGATATTTTGAGCTCTAGCCCAGGGATTATTTAAAAAGGTTGCAGATGAGAGTTTGAACTTCTATAACCCATGTGGCGAAATATCGACTTAGAGGAGGCGACGGGTGGAAGTATCCCAAGGGGATATATCGGACCTGGGTAAGCTAACGGGCGGACGGCCAGATCCAGCAATCAAGTGCGTGAATAAAGCTGGGTGAAAGGGTTCGAGAATTGCAGAAGGATGTTGTGCAACTTTGGTGCTAGCCCACCAGAAGCTCGAGTGACCAAGTCGAGAAAACTGCTCGGGCAGGCGGAAAGTGCTCAGAGGCTCACGCTTTGTTAGCTGAAGTCTTAAGTTTGATTGAGCATAGTTAGGATAAGAAAAATTCATCGACATTTTATGGCTTACACTTTGGAGTCTCAGGAGACACGGCACCATCTCTCAGTTGTGTTTTACAACCTCAAACATAAACATAAGGTGGCTAAATTTTTGCACGATCGACCTCCTGTAAACTACCGACCGGAGGGGAATCAAGCACCTGAATGTCCCTGCAGGAGTCGCATCTCGTCAACTGATTAAGTCTCGTGGGTCCCTAGCTGCATGTTAGCCACGTACGTCAGCTAGTGTCTAAGTGCTGTGTTGTGCAAACAGTCTCGTTGATAAAGTTCAAATAAGAGTTACAGGCTTTTCGTTGATTTAGGGTGTAATTGGATTGTTGGCGTTATAATCAGCATCTCACGGTGTACATCCGTAGCCTCAAATCGTCTGGCAACCTCCCGGGTCCTGTTATGGCCAATCTGTTATTCTTCGCCATTTGTGATCGAGAGCTCAGCTCCAGTAAACAGTGAATGCATACATCCGGGTCGACCTCAAACAATTTACCAGAAAATTGGGCCCAGAGGCATAGGTCATCTATATTTAGTGATAACTTTCATGTCTTTTATACCTTTACTGGAATTCTGGGAGTACACTTTAAATGCTGCAAGCCTTACGTCCTACAAACCCATTATGAATTATCGGAAGTCAATAAGTGTTTCTATCATGACGATTTCCCGGAATAACACTTATCGAGGGGCAAGGACACAAAATCCCGAATCTGTCTATTCGGGTGGAGTATACCAGAAAAAATTTAGACGCGATGGCGACCCAGACGCTTATTTTGCGTCGGCCAGTGAGCAAATTATTATAGCTACAGAACTATCGGCTGATTTCGTCCATCTTCGGCTATTCGTATTTTCCAGAAAACTGAAATATTACGTTACATTAAACTGTAGCGTGGGTAGTCAGAAAGCCAGTGGATTTCGACACTCACAAGGATGCGTTGATGGCATAAGAATTGAGCAGCTATAGAATTTAGCATTATTGGAACCACACAGCCCGTAAATCACGCATT